TATGGATGTGTACAGATCCTTCCTTTATATTATGTGGAGTAGTTTAAAAAGAAAAAGAGAGAGATACTTGTTTTTTGGCAGGGTAGGGGATGGAGATGGGGAAGTAAGTGGCATAGAGGTTAAGTGGGTTTCCTCATATAACACAATGCATCTTTAGAATCTGATTATGAGGAAGCCAGGACTGCAAAGTCTAAGTGTTCACAACTCACTGTTTCCATCTCCAACCCTGAAAACCGATGTAGTGTTTATTGCTATTGTGTTCAATGCTGTTGAAATATGTAACCATAGTCTGTGTTGTCCAAAAGGGCAGCCACTGGCCACATGTGACTATTTAAACTGAAATTAAATTGAGATACAATAAAATGTTTACTTCCCTTGTTTCACTAGCTATGTTGAAAGTAACCAATTATTAGTGCAGATAAAGAATGCGTTTATCTGCAGAAAGTTTTATTGGATAGCGCCAGGGGATTCCTGTACTAGCTTATGATAAAATATTTAGGCGGCTATCTCCTGGTGCAAAAATCCTCATGAATAAGTGAAATGTTGGAAATTTATTTTTGTTTTTCTCTCCTTTCATGTCCTTGTGTTGTCACTGTGCACTGAGGGCAGGGAGTTCACAGATGGCCCTCAGAAGCCTCTGCCAGCTTGCTCTTAACTCCAGGCGCCTATACCCCTTGCTTCAGCCACAGCAGCCCTGCTAATGTCTGTTTTACAAATTGGAGTTTCCTGGTAGCACATCTTGTGCACAAATGGTTGTTTCTCTTAAATGATTGGAAACCTTCTCTAGTCAATTGGGAGAGACCTGACCCATCGGGAGGTTGATCAAAAGAAGTCACATTTTAAGACTTCCTCCTTTAGCACGCCATCCCCCCAACTTAATGGCTGTCTGTATGGATAAATGCTCAGTTAAGTCTCATTGCAATATGATTGTTTCTAAGAAGTCGAGAATTGAGAGCAGGGTGTCATTAGAAAGCCCAGAAGAAGCAACCTGATAAACAATGAGATAAACAATGATGCCTAGTTTTCTAGTGATGGCAGGTTTTTGTTTTGTTTTGTTTTAAGTTCTGTGGAGATTTTATTTAATGAAACATTCTTTCCCTTTCTCTCTCTCTTTTCAGAATAATGATTTTATCCCTTAACTCCCTTCTAGAGTGACAAGTAATTTTTTAAAATTATTTTTAAACTTATGAACCCATGGATTTTAGGAGGATGTGTTTCAGTAAATTGTAGCTACTGTTGCCCTTGCTGTCAGATTGTCCTACATTTAGCTGATGGGTCCTCATCACCTTGGCTCCTTGTTTTTGAATATAACCTAGTAGTTCCTGGAAGTCTCACTGCTTCCTCATGTGATAAGATGTTTCACAATCATTAGGCTTATTTCCCGCATAAAACCTGCAATCATTCATTTTGCTAAGGAACTTGGGATCCTCTTTTTAAAGAAAGAAGAGTTCCAGTTGCTTCTTTTCCCTTATGTTAACAGAAAAACATGCTACAATACAAAAAGCTGGAAAAAAAAATCCTTCAGATTCATATTAATTTGAATATGAAGGTATTTTTACAGAAAAGGGTTACAATGTTAAACTGAAGGTAAAGAGTTGAGTCCATGGCAGTTACATGATTACTTGAAACAGTAATTTGTGAAGGATTTTAGGCAGGTGCACTCTTTGTTATCCCATTTCAAATCATGTTGTGCACCCTGGCCCTCTGAACTGTCAGCTTCTATAGTTGTCCATGTACAGAAATACAAAAGTAGTTATTCAGCTAATTGGAAATCAACAAAATTAATGTTCCTAAAGATCTTTGTCCTGTAAGCAATAAGAGACAAGAGAGCTTTAAATATGTTTTTTGTTTTATTTTAAACTTAGCTATGAGGTTCAGTTTTATCTGCATGTCCCAGTTAAGGAAGACACAGAGGGCAGGACATATCAAAATCCAAGTTGAGACTCTGCTGGGGTCTGTTGGACACATGTAGCATCATTTGTGATATAAGCTAAACTATAGTACTTTTAATATCTCTGAACCCCTTTTCCTGCTCTTTTCATTGCAAAGTGCTTGGCAACCCTCTCTCTAGGCTAAAAGAAACTGCTTGTAATATTTGTTCATCCTCATTATTTTTGCTGTCAGTGTTTCCTTAAAAAAATCCATTTCCCATTTTTGTTCTAAAATTTAAACTCCACGTTACTGATATGCAAGCCAGCATTTCCCTTTTGGCAGTGTTACCAAGTAATAAACAAGATATGGAGTGGAGATTAGCTGGAATGAACATCTAGAATAGGTCTTATCTTCACACCGCTGATCTTCTCTTGCTGTATCTGGGCCAAGGACATAGCCCATTTAAGTATAAATATGTATGTTCTCTAGCTGTATTCATTCCTAGATCCTATCACTGTTTTAAGTCTGGAGGTAACATTTGTAGGTTCATTTGGAAGAATTTGGTCCTCTTATGCCACTTTAGTCAGGTAGAGGAAAAAGCCAAATCACTTCTTCCCTGAGAGAGCATTTCATACATCTCCATCTCTGTGATCGCACCGAGTCATTATGTAGCAGTTGGCTCTGATACGCTTGCACAGACACAAATTGAGTCCGACAGGACTGATGTCTCCTGGACTTTGCTGTCATTTGAAATTCTGGCATGAGGATGGGAACAGTGGGGGAGGGGAGCAGAGCTGATTCCCTTAGCACTTTTCCTATGAAGTTTTGAGAATTTTAGCTTTTGATAGCTGCGAACTGCCTGATAAGTTATTTTCCAGATGAGATTGATAACAATAGCAGACTTGGAGCAGCTGGCTAGCTTTTGGTTTCAAGTGGATGTATTTCAATGTATAACTTGCGATTTCATGCCAACTGCAAATCTGTTAAAAATAAAAAAGGCTAGCAAGTGGATTGGTAATTACAATGATCCCCCACCTTTTCATTTAGCTTTATCTTTCCTATCCATACCTATCCATTCCATTCAAATGACACATGCATAGTAATGAAAAAGATAAGATCTTTAAAAAAATTTTATTCTCAGGCTCAATCTCAGTTTCAGGAAAGGCAGGCTATAGTATCTCTGTTACAATACTTTTTCAAGTACAAGTTATTTTGGTGGATTAGGTTATTTCGGGATAGCTCTAGTATTTCCTGTCAAGAATTTTGTACGTGTTTCAAATATTCCAATATACAAAACTTAAAAGTATACTGTTTCATTTGGCAGAAGAATTCTGATTGTCATCCTCAAGTTTTCACCATGATAGAGGAAGCAATAGAATTCAGTGCTCCCTCTCTCTGTATTCAGAGCCTACTCTGTGTAAGATGCTGCGCTAGATTACTTGAAGTTTCCTGTAGGAACAACTATTTATCACCCGATGAGTCTTTACTTCAGATTAGTGCTTGGAGCAAGTCGGTCATGGCTGCCCTTCTTTTCAGCTCCCATCCAGACCACCATCCCCTGTGGTCTGTGTTACTTTTCACCTGGGAAACTTGCTCTGGCCTAATAGTGCTACATTTGTGTGTTAGCTCATCTTTTCAAAGCCCATTTCCTTATTCTGCTCAGAAGCACTAAGTAGCTTTATTCGTGATTTGCTGAGTAAAGTCTGCTTGACTTGGATTGGTGTTCAAGTCTCACCATGACCCTTTCCTTTCCTTTCCTTTCCTTTCCTTTCCTTTCCTTTCCTTTCCTTTCCTTTCCTTTCCTTTCCTTTCCTTCTTTTCAAGACTGAACCATTTTCTTTTGCCTCATTTTCTTCTGCTTTCCTAATGAATTCATCACTCCAACCCAGTGGAGTTGGAGTCCTGAACCAGCTGCCATCAGCATCGCTCAGGAACTTGTTAGACATGTAAATTCTGAGACCCCATCACAGACCTAGTGAGCCACACACCAGGGCATGGTGCCCAGCTATCTGTTGTTGTTGTTGTTTTATTTTATTTTCACCCAGCTATCTGTTTTAAAAAGCCTTGCAGGTGTTTCTGATGCATATGGAAGTTTGGGAAGCCCTACTCCAGCCAAAGCTGGAGACTCATCTTTTCCAAAGTTCCTTTCCCACTGCCCTGCCTTTGTACAGAATTCCTGGAATGCCTTTCTCTCTTCTTGGTTAAATCCCAACTGTATTCCCAAGCTCACTTTGAGATACTGCTTTATCTATGATACCATTCCTGATCTTAACTTTTCATGGCATTATTTGGTTTTCCTTCCTGACACTCATCACTTATTAACTTATACTAGTCATCTGATGTATCTCTTTTATTTTTCCTAGTAAATTGGAAAGTCACAGAAGACAGAATCCAACTCATTTTTGTACTTCCTGGCACTTTATACTAAGTGCATTTGCACACAGTAGGCTCTCTAAAAATAGTCTGTGGCTTATTGGCTTTACATAGAAGATTGAGAAAACTAAATTATTGCCCAGGAGACATATGAAAATCCTATTAAATCAAGTAGGCTCATGCTAACTATTGTTTTGACTTACTGAAGCTAAACTAGACTTGAACATTGATGTGTCTTCAGGGAAGAAGCCAAATGTGCTTGTGTAAAAAATTCTAACCTCTCCTCTTTAGCTGGAGAAGTTGAATTAGCCCTGTCACTTCCTCTCGTGCCAAGAAAGCAGCTTCCATTATTCTGTCAATAATAGACTTTTATCTGGCATGTGACGCTTCTCTTAAATCTTTCTCATACCATTGCTGTGCTTTCTTCCACGGACGTATTCACGTAGCGTTTCATAAGAAGTGACAGTTGCTTCTTACAGAGCGTTGTCCAAAAGGTGGCATAAGCAGAGAGTGGAATTCAAGGTGGTTGGCTTTGGCAGAGCCTGACAGTGGGAACAAGATGGGCTCAGGCTGCCCCATTTTCAAACAAACTTGCTTCCCTTCTCACACAGAAACATCCCAGTTACAGTTGCTTGTGTCTTTATAGTAGCTTGCATCTCTCTGGGTGGTGGTGACGGAACAAGGGGAAAAGAGTAAGAAACTAAGGGTCTTTGTGTTCTCTTTCCTTTTTGTCTCTCTCTCTGCCCTTACAGGCTCTGAAAGTGTTCCAGCTGAAATTCCAGAGCAGACTGACTCGCCACAGCTTCAGAGGCAGCGATCCCTGACCGCCGGCGCCCGCTGCCCCCAAGCTGCAGGATGGTGCACATTGCCAGGCTGCTGTTGCTGCTCCTTGCTCTCTTCCTCCACGCGGACGCTGAGAGTAAGCCATTCTCCCTCCTCTACGGGGCTGTGGCCATAACGAGTGGTTTTGTTCGCAGCTGGCAGCAGGCTCAGGGCCCCTGAGTCCATTTCCTTTGGAAGTAAATCCTGAGACACTGTGGGATCCTCCTTGGCTACCAGCCAGCCTTTGAAAGAGATTATTGACGTGACTTCCTTACCATTTCCTCTCTCTCTCTCTTAATGCCCCTATTCTTGGGCATCTAACTGCTCCTACTGTTTTGTCTTTTTTTTTTTTTTTTTTTACAATCTTACCAGCCCGGTGGCAAAGACACTATGAGACCGATGATGTAACTCAAACTGGGGTTAACCAGTTGGTGGTGCCAATAAGTAAACACTGTTCAGACCCATTAGAAATTTCTTTCGTATTGTGGATATATCTATGTTTAGAAAAATGCACAATGTCACATCGAGCCTAATTAAACTTCCAAGCCCCTTGTAGCTGTCATAGCAGCTGTTCTGATGTACTGTTTCCGACAGCTGTCGTCGAGTACAGTATTCAAACAAATCAAGCAGAACTGACAACGTTGTGGCTGGGTGAAGGGTGTGGAAGTATAAGGAGAATTCTGTTGAGTACAGACACCAAAGTTTTTGGTTTATTGGACTCAATTTATGAAACTGAGCTTGTGGTCAATTAGCTTGCCAATTAATGAGAAGATCATATCTCCTTCGTAATTAGGAAATCATTAGGTCTACCTTGTTTACATATGTTTGTTTTCCCATCTGGCCCATGGCGTTTTGGAAGAGATAGTACTGGAGAAAGTCATGTCTCTGGCTTCGGCTCACTGACATGGCTGGTTTCTTCATAGTGCTGTAGCTCATGAGCAAGTTGCCCATTCTCTTTGGGAGTCCCCTGGTATTATGGAAATGTATAACATCTGCAGTCATTAACTTTTCCCTCTGCTATTTCAGTGAGATTAAATCTGATTCATGCTGAGGATGTTTCAAAGACAAGCTTCCTGCGTCATGTTGGCCCATGACTATTAACTGAATTCTGACAAAAATTTCTTCAATAGCAGCCAATTTCTTTGTTTAAATAAGGGCTCTGTTTTCCAAAGAGAGCTTTCCAGGAGTGAAAGGAATCAGGTTAATAACAGGATGCATATGGAACATGCATGTTTTAACTACATTCTCTGGTTAATAATGTATATAGTCTCCTAATTAGCACTTGAGAGTATTGGTTTAAGGTGACACCAAGGAATGTCTAGGACAATGCCAGCAAATAATTAACTGGGAAAAGACCCAAATGAAAGATGCTCTTGTTACTTTAAAGCCATTTATGTCAAAATCTATTTTAAAGTTGTAATCTAAAATTAGTTTATTAAAGAAATCAGGCATATGGCTTTATTTTTCTGTTTTGGCTAGAATGAAAAAGTACATTGTTTTACAATTGTTAATTTTTGGCAAAAACCTGTCAGCACCCTGGGAATCCACTTTAATTTCAGATAGCAGTTAGAGATTTCCTTAAAATTACTAGATATAATTGTCATATATCCATGAAGTTATCCTTCCAGATAAGTAGAAATGTTTTTCTACTGAGCAGCTTTACCTTCGTTTAAATCTCTGGTAGAATGTGGCAGACAGATGTCAAGTACTCTTACAATTGTTTTAAAAAACAATCTACACTCCGGATGATCATCACCTACTCCTTTCCCTCCTGCTCCTCCCCTTCTCCCTCTACCTCCACCCTTCACCACACTTCCTTGATAGCAGCCTTCCAAAAGGGAAAACAGGGGCCACAATAGCAACTTTTAGTTCAGATGTTTACCAGGTTATATGTTTATATGATAATCAGCTCCCAAGCTCAAGATGTAAGCTGAAAAAGAATCATTCTCTCTCACTCTTCCCATGGCAACTAATGAAAAGGGACAGACTTTGCCAGAATAATTTGTTTAGTTTTCCCCAGGTCTACTCCAACCTTGCTTTAGTATGTTTTCCCTTTAGCCGATTTATTTGGCGTTGTTGAATGGGATGTGTAATCCAAGAGATTCTCGAGGTGAGAGGAAAAATTAGCCATATTTTTTAAGGTACATTTTAAAAGAAGAAAGAACATCCCTTATCGATCTATTGGAGGACACTCATGGTACATGAAAACACATGGTTGGAGATGCGCTTTTCGTCCCTAAAGGATGTTTAAAGAACAATTGGGAAAATGGGTCCCAGATTATAACCTATTAAATTGTGCTGCTACCTTTTCATAAAACACTGGAAAAAAAAAAAAAGACATCCTAAGTAGCACGGAAGAAGAATTAGATTTTTTTCATCATCACCTAAATACAGTATTTCTGAAGCTCCTATTACCTGGGACACTGGTTTGTTACTCTATGCTTTGATTAGCACATGTAGCCATGTTTTACCTAACTCTATTTTGGAATTTTTACAAGGAATCAGAAGTTCTATTTCAAAATTTAATAGTAACTTGTCAGAGCCATTTGAGAATGATGAAATAATTTTTAAAAATCCATTTGCCCATTTAAGAACGAGAACCATGTGGGGGTGGGGAATGGAAAGAAGCCTCTCTAGTTCACCATGCTAATTTAATGTGCTCTGCTCACTGCCTTTCGAAATGATTAACTCCAAAGAGCCAAGGAGTCAGGATTATCATCTGCTCTGTGGAAGTCATAGTAAAGTGCTAGGTGTGATGTTGCATTAAGTAGAAGAGCTCTTATGAGCCTTGGTTCAAACCCAGGTCGAAAAATTGTGATAAAATCCCTTTAGCAGAAAATTATAGTCTTTGCCATTGCCAATTAAAGTGCCCCACAGATCCCCACTATTACAAAGGCTAGATGTATGCATGGATCTTATTTCTTTTTATTCCTATGTCTTGAGTGCTGGAAATGATTTTGCTTGTTTCTTGAATGTGGGTACACATGGTGACTTCGGTTCGAGCACAAACAGTAGTTCCTCCTCCTGTCAAGCCTACTAGTTTTCTGGCTTAGGTGGTCTGATTGAGGTTCATTCTAGTTTAAGTGGTTGTCCGATTGAGGTCAGATTTTGTCTTAGGCAGTGGTCTGATGGAGGTCAATTCTTTGATAACATGAATGCAAATTAAAAGTAAATTTATACTAGCATTTTCCTGGGGTGTTTTTCTGTTGGCTGAGTTTTCATAGCAATTTCTGATAGTTTTATTTCATGTGTAGCTTTAGTTTTTTTATTTACTAGTTATTTTTTATTTGTTTTTTGTTTGTTTTTTTGTTTTTGTTTTTGTTTTTTTGGGTTTTTTTTTTTTACCTAGGTGCAGGCTACAAACCTGCTTTTAGGACTTTCTTTCATCAAACTGGTTTCACTGTAATAAAATCACTGTTGACTGTTGCATTCTAGACTTGAGTTTATACTTTTGACAACTGTAATTTGACCTGAATAGTTATTGGATCTTCATTGGAAACACAACGTTTGATAGTCTAATTCCTCAAATTGCTTACCTCATCCATTTTCTGTTACTTTTTGCTTTTTTCCATGTCAGATGGTAACCGCTCCCTCATTTTCCTCCCTTCTTGTAAGGAAACTTCTTAGTCCTTGTCTACTCACTGTATTCCTGTCTTACATAAAAGCAATGAATTCCCCCCCCCCTTTGGTATTGTATCACTGTATCCATTGGCATTAGAGAATAGGCTGGCATACACACAGTAGGAGAACAATTCTTACCTTATATATTTCCTGATGGGCAGTGTGGAGTAATGGTTCAGAAAGTGAGCTCTAAAGCCAGTCTGGTTTTAAGTTCTGGCTGTCCTCTGTAATCTGGAGCATGATACACCATGCTCTTTCCCTCAGTTTCTCTATCTTTAAAATGTGAGTGATGGTGATGATAATCATGATGATGATTGTATAGGAAAGGTCCTACTCCTGGGTTTTGTAAGCATTGAATGGGCTAATGTAAAACACAAAATCAGCAGATGACATATGATGGGTTTTTCATAAACGTTAGCTGTTATTATATCATTATGTCAAAAACACATAGCCAACAGTGTTATTGAGCAGTTCTATGAGATGATGTGCTAAAATCCTTTTTTATTTGACCTGCAGATTATCAAAATTTTGGTGGTTGGTAAAACAGGTTTTCTCACACCATGTTAATGACTAAACTTGCTTCTCTATAAAGTCCCATACATAAGAGATCCTTGAAACTCTTGTATTGTGAATTAAACTGAAGATCAAGAGGAAAAATTATAAAGCATACTTAGTCAAGCTAGTCAAGCTTGGAAAAAAAAGCTCCTATCCCAGAATTACTGATTTAAAGTTAATTTGGGGGGCGCCTGGGTGGCTCAGTGGGTTAAAGCCTCTGCTTTCGGCTTGGGTCGTGATCCCAGGGTCCTGGGATTGAGCCCTGCATTGGGCTCTCTGCTCTGCAGGGAGCCTGCTTCCTCCTCTCTCTATGCCTGCCTCTCTGCCTACCTGTGATCTCTGTCTGTCAAATAAATAAATAAGATCCTTAAAAAATATAAAAAAAAATAAAGTTAATTTGGCTGGGGTCTAATTAATGGAAAGTGTCCCATCCTTCTGTTCTGTTGGTTCTTATAAGGGATTTTTCTGAGCTTCTCAGAGAGAGGAGTTATAGAGATCTACTATAAACAAATACTCTAATATATGGGCCATTGGACCAGAAAGCTGGAAGTGCAGGTGAGCTGGATACAGAAAAGAGTAAATGGCTTTTCATATGGTCATAAATTATTCGGTAAGAAAAAAAATAAGGAAAATAATTAAAGGGCAGGGCAAATTATTCCTTTTGCATTTTGCAGAATCACTTCTGAGAAGTAGCCTAAGCATGCAGTTGGACCTTCCAAGATGAGGTTAGAAATGGAGAGGATGTCTTTTTTATGTCATCAAAATGCATACCTCTCAGCAGATAGGCCATTTCACACAGAGAACATTAATATGCCTTAAAAACCACTTTTTCTGTTTTTACTTTACATTGTGACTATTTGGGTATGTGTGTATGTATACCCCAAACTATTGAAACCGTCCCTTAGAAGGTAAATATTGCCA